GGTGGGACGTGGGCCCAATGTCAGCATTTTCCCATAGACCTTTCAAACGTTCACGGTCCTTGCCCTCTGTCCAGTCGGCCATGCGGCCCAGCTTGTCGGCCTTTGAGTAGGGCGCGAAGGGCACGCCGTCGAGCATCGTCTCAGTGGAGACCGTAGGACCCCATCCTTCCGAGGTGGGCAGTGCGGACACAAGGTCCAGGAGTGAAGCGGGCGCCATGTTGTTGTCGTAACTTTTCTCGGGAGACGTCGTCTTCGTCGCCGCCGCACAATACCTCACGAAATCGAAGTGGGCTGCCAAGATTGTCGCGCTAGAGGAAAATCAAACAACCGAACCCCGCGCTGGTCCATTCACTCAGACGTCGACCACATGTGCAACGCCAAGCCGCGCATGGGTCTCCGACTCCTCTCGACTCCCACTCACCAGTGCTGTTTTGGACCTGCTCTGTGCGCGCACACACTCTGTCTTTCTCTCTTTGTTTGTTGGACCGCGCGCAGTAGCCTCTTACCGTTATATGATGGCCATCACTACGAATCGAGCTTATTTGATGCGCTTCAACCATGACCGATGAGATACTTGCACACATCTCCGCGCCTGCAACTCGACAGACTGACGACCTGTACCAATCTCTGGTGGACGCATACCATGACTTCGAGCCATCTAGAGCTTTACGCGACCCAGATCTAACAGACTGTATCCCTGGAAGACCCAATGGTGCATCAGCATGTGACAACAACCTGGACATTATCACCACCTCTATTACTGCTTCCAGCAAAGATTCCTTTGGCAGCTTTCCGTCTCGTCTATCATCCGAGGATCATGTGAACTCGTACACACAAGGCCCTAGTCAGACTAACGGTGACTCGACCGAGTATGGCTCCATACTGATGTCAAGTCGGCTGGCGCGACTAGAACGCATCCATCAAAACTGGAAAGATAAGATCACACCAAAGACAAGTTCCTCCAAGAGCTTTCGATCTCCGCGACTTCAATCGCAGATGCGAGATGATGAGGATGATGGTGCTGACACAGCCTTCATCGAAGACACCCAGCTGGCAATGCAAGCGCTGCAGAGCCAACTGGAAGAAAGTCACTCGACCACTTCTGAAGACACTTCCGAAAGTGAAGCCAATTCTGAAGAATACACGGGCATTTTTCAGTTGTCGGACGTGCCTGATGATCAACATGAGCTTGTCACTGCTCGGGTACATGAAACGGCCTCTTCAGCTGGAACATCGAGACCGGACGTAGATGCCTTTTCTGCAACACTTCAATCGAACAACTCTGCATCAAGTAGCTTCAATGTTGTAGGAAATGTGCAATCCCTAGTTCCTGCGACTTCGACCGCTGAGGTCTACGACTTTAGCGAACTTCCGATCCATGTTTTCCCGCCGCCTCCAGAAGTCTCAGTATTACAGCCTGATGGACTACCTTCGCAAACTACATCCTACCTTAAGTTGGTCAAAAATAGACATCCGAATCGGTATCACCTCGTCCGGAGGAAGTACAAGCCGAATGATGATGCTCGAGGATACTGGGTTGTGAACTGTGCTACCTGGCCAGTCGAGGCACAATTGAGCTTCTGGTCGTCATTGCAAGACTATCTTCTCAAGGAAAAGTTGGGTTGGGGTACGACACTTCATCGAATCCCCAAGTCTCCGCACGAAATGGGCGAGATCAGACTGTATTGCTGGGCAGAAGTTGTTGAACACATGTGGCTACAGCTATGGCTGTCTTCTGGGGGCTATATCTCTCATCTAAATTGGTATGATGCAGAAGGGTCTGTTGTCTTGCAGGCGAAATTAAGGCAAAAGAAGCCGGTATAGACGCTGGACCTGAGTCGTAGTGATTGTAATTCACTCGGCGACAATTGCGAATTTTGAATAGATACAATCACATTACATACATCCTGTAATTATTTCAGGAACAGCATGCAAGAATTTTCACCTTTCATGGTACTCGTGCCCAAACTGTTTGTGATTTGCAAGTGTCTAAAGGCCATGTCAGCACTTCTTCCAACCTTGGAATGCTGTGCATGAGACGCAAACGCCAAGCCCAACCCCCAAGGCTGATCGGTCACACCTCATCAATGTTTCAAATTCCGGAAAGTTGCGCAACGTCTTCCACAAGTTCCACGATGTGATCTCCAAGGCTCCACAGTCAACCAAAAATGCCCCCAAAGCCGCGCAGAGAGCGCAAGCGTAGCGTAAGCCTGGACGATGATCGTATCCTTCAAGACAACACCTCAGACTCCGACTTGCACAATGGCCGGCCACCAAACGACCTGTCTGATAACGACCACGATATTCTCGAATCCGAAGACGAACGTGAGAAACTCTTGACGCGCAATGATGGCGTTTTGGGCCAAAAAGGCTCAAATGTTAGGATCGGCAAATGGTCGCAGAAGAAGGAGATGAGCGAGCGCAAAAGGGGCGGCAGCGAGGAAGAGAGGGCGTTGATGTATGAGATGGAAGAAGGCGTCGGAGATTCGAGTACGAGCTTGAGAGCGCGCAAAAGTGAGGAGAGTGACGAGCAGAGGTTACACGCAATTGGGGAACAGAGAAAGGCAAAGCGCATACGAATTTGGCGGCGGATAGGCATATATACGGCAATCGTCGCTCTGTTTGTTCTACTTCTCATTGCCTCATACCGTCTTTCGATGCCAAAGGATGTTCTGGCTGCATCCGCCCTGGTGTCAAATGGTACTTCGCTCTTCGCGCCTACAACGATTCTCATTTCACTCGATGGCTTCCGCGCCGACTTCCTGTACCGCAATCTTACGCCGACTCTCAACCGATTCGTACAAGAAGGGATTTCGCCACAGTATATGCTTCCCAGCTTTCCCAGTGTTACGTTTCCAAATCACTACACGATGGCGACAGGAATGTATCCGGAAGCACATGGCGTTGTTGGAAACACGTTCTGGGATCCTGCGCTGGAGAAGGAGTTCTACTACACAGATCCAGAGCGGAGTCTACAGTCGCACTGGTGGGGTGGTGAGCCCATCTGGGTGACTGCTGAGAAGCAAAACGTGCGCACAGCCGTGCACATGTGGCCTGGCTCAGAGGCACACGTCCAAGATCAACAAATCGCATACGTTGACAAGTACAACGGCTCTGAACTGTTGTCCAAGAAGGTGAATCGCATCATGGACCTACTTGATACGCCTGGACCCCACGACATCGGCGCAAAAGTTACAACACCACGCCCTCAGCTCATCGCTGCCTATGTGCCCAACGTCGACGCTGACGGCCACCTCCACGGACCCAACAGCACCGAGATTCGCAAGACGATCGCAGAGACAGACGCCATGCTCGGCTCCATTCTGAGCGGTCTTGAGGCGCGCAACCTGACAGATATCGTCAACGTCGTCGTCGTATCTGATCACGGCATGGCAACGACAGACGTCTCGCGCCTCATCCAACTCGAAGACCTCGTCGACCCCACAGAACTCTCCCACATCGACGGCTGGCCCCTCTACGGCCTCCGTCCCAAGAACCCAGACGACCTCGCACGAATCCACACGCAACTCAAGGAAAAAGCAAAACACAACCCCAACATCGACGTCTACCTCCGCGACCACGACATGCCAGACCGCTACCACTTCTCCAACAACCCACGCATCGCACCGCTCTGGATCGTGCCGAAAACAGGCTGGGCGATTGTGACAAAGGATGAATTCAACGTCGAACAAGGCCGGCAAAAAAGCGACATCTATCATCCCCGCGGCCTCCACGGCTACGACCACGAACATCCGCTCATGCGTGCGATCTTCATAGCTCGGGGCCCAGCCTTCAAACACGTGCCCGGCAGCAAAATGGAGCCTTTTCGTAAGTCAATCACACACATACATACACACACACCGGCAAGTCGGAGAAATACCCACCCAACCCACCACTAACCCCCCATTCCAGAGGGGATACGCAGATGTTCGGCTGACTAGACAGCTCCA